AATACAGGAGGGGTGGAACAGGAATAGGAATTCCCCCCCACCCCCCGATTCCATGATCTCAAATGCACACAGATACTCCCCACCACCTTTGAGTGCACATTAATTAATATTCCTAGCCTCCTACATCCCTATTTCTGCCCACATTATTTCTAACAACAATATCCCCAAGAAACTAAGACCAGGTGTTCCTTTGAAGTACAGACGAATCTTACTTTGGTCCTTTTGTGTACCTAAAAACATGTAGCTCTAAGACAAAGCACCACTGATTTAGGGAAGACTCATCGATAGAAGGGAATGGGTGCCTTTGCAATCCAAAACTCTGGCAGACACTACTTTAAGCGGGTGACCAGCTTAACATCACCAACAGTGACAAGCTGATATATGTGATGTCCTAAGAAGAAAATCTCACTGGGGCACCTGGGTGGCTCAGTCGGTGGAGTGTCCAACTCTTGACTTTGGCTCAGGTCGTTGTCTCACGGTTCTTGTGTTTGAGCCCCACATCGCACTGACAGCGCATACATACCCTGCTTGGGATTCTTGGTCTCCCCCCCTTCTCTGCCCTTCCCCTGCTCACGTTCTCTCTCTCTCTCTCTCAAAAATAAACAAACATTAAAAAAAGAAGAAAATATCACTACACAGTCTTTCTGCCAAAAATATGTTATTTGAATCTAATCATGATAAAACAGTAAGACAAATTCAAATTCAGGGATATATTTAAACAAATGGCCTAAACTAAAAAAATACCATTGTTGTGAAAGATTTAAAAAAAAAAGTTGATTGGGGAACTGTTGCAGACCAAATGTAATAGTTCAATCCTTTTTAAAGGAAAGCTATAAAGGACACTATTTGGATAGTTAGAGAGAAATTGCCCAAAATGTGATTACTGTATCATAGTTATGTTAGAGAATGTCCTTGCTCTTAGGAGAAACAAGCTGAATATTTAGAAGTAAATTTTCACAATGTCCCAACTTACTTTCAAAGGGTGTAATAACAACAATAAAAGATACGTAAGATGCACACACACACACAGAGTGAGAGAAGACAAAATCAGAGAACCCAGGTAAAGAGTACAGAAGTATTCACAGTTACATTTTTTTTCTATAGGTCTAAAACTTTTCAAAAGTAAAAAGCTGTGAGGAAAATATACATAGTTGTTTAAAAAACAGATGATCTTTTAGAAAGACACACTGAAATATTTACAGGAAAAAAAAATATTATCTGTGATGTGTTTCCAAATAATCAAGAGTAGGTGGGTGGGATTGTCCACAGACAATGTAAATGTGGCTCATAAACTAATGATTGCTGCATAGCTGGCCAATGGGTACATAAGGGTTAACAGTATTATTTTTCTCTTTTGGACATGTTTGTACATTCTATAATAAAAAGTTAAAAATTCATGTATTTCTGGGGCGCCTGGCTGGCTTAGTCAGTAGAGCATGTGATGACTCTTGATTTCAAGGTCGTGAGTTCAAGCCCCACGTGGGGAATAGAGCTAAAATTAAAAAAAAAAAATTCATATATCACGGGAGCATCACCCAGAGATTCTGATTCAGTAGGTCTAAGGTAGGATTCAGTAATTTTCATTGAATAAGCATTCCAGGAGATTCTGATGCATCACCAATATGCTCCATACAGGGTCTAAGTGGAGGAAAACAAAGAGAGGGAGAGAGGTGTGTGCTTAGTTCAGGAAGAGATGTAGTAAGTGGGGGCAAGGGAAAGGAAGCAGGCAGGCTAACCTCTGAGATTCTCTTTTCTTTTTTTAAAGAAGGAAGCATAGAATATGAGAGTAATCTGGCCTGAGAAAGGTCGTAGGGCTTTGACCTTAATGCAAAGTCTGTGTAGACCCCCCCCCCCCCCCCCCCAGGCTCATCATCATGGCCTGGTCCTCCAGGACCCCTCAGCCTCGGGCCTCAGTCTGTGGGCACTATACAAGTCAATCCTTCCGTGACCCATGTGACAAGCTAAAGGAGTCCTTAATCTACTTTAAGGGGGAAGATGTGCTGTGACATTACGCTGGGGCAGTAAAAACAGCCTCCCCACTTCAGAACTTTACACAGGGTAGTGACGTTTCACACCACTATTAGTACAGGGAATTTGGAAGCCAATTTCCTCATGCAGGAACACAAAGTAAGTTACACATAGTGTTGCCTTGAGGCCCTAAAGGCTCTAGGGAGGTAGAACATGTACACTTTTTCAATCAACTAGACACAATGCTTAAAAAATCCAAAATCCTCATGATAAATGAGGATGTGCCTCTACTAGAAGAAACAATCCTGATATTCAACCAAGTAGAAATTACTTAAACCCTGACACCCAACCACCAACTCATATTGTATTAATGTGATTATGCTGTATTGACTAGGCAATTTTATACTTAGTTTATGACAAAAAGCAACAAACGAGTGTATTAACGAACAGTGTGTATAGGGTTAAATGTCAGGGTTCTATTTCAGCACCATCATTATCAGCAGAATGGTTTTAGGCATAAAGAAGGTTAACTTACTTATTAACCTTTCTGTGCCTCGATTTCTTTATCCTGTGTGATGATAAATGACATAATAGAATACAACATCTGAAAAGCTTAGAGCTGATTCTGGTACACAGTAAACACTAAGCAGTATGTAAGTGTGCTATTTCTAATTACTGATGGTAATGTTGGTAAGTCTTGAGCTGAGTAACTAGTTTTATACAAAGCAAACTATATATACAACCACAGTTATCATACAGAAATCTACAATTTGTTAAAACATCAATTTTATGTTTACAATTGCAACATCAGAAAAACATTTAAAACAGCAATTTTAGAGGCACCTAGGTGGCTCAGTCAATTAAGGGCCCAACTCTTGATTTGGCTCAGGGCATGATCTCACAGTTCATGGGTTCAAGCCCCATGTCCGGCTCTGTGCTGAGAGCGTGCAGTCTGCCTGGGACTCTCTCTCGCTCTCTCTTCTCTCTTTCCCCCTGCCCCTTATCCTCAGCTCGTGCTCTTTCTCTCTCTCAAAATAAGTATTTTTTTTTAAACCCAGCAATTTTATTACTATATATCTAGTCTACAGAGGTAATAAACAAACCGGGTTTTTAAAAAATACAGTGGGGGGCACCCGGGTGGCTCAGTAGGTTGAGCATCAACCTTTGTCATGATCTCATGGTTCGTAGGCCTGAGCCCCACATCAGGCCCACTGCTGTCGGCCTGTCAGCACAAAGCCCACTTTGGATCCTCTGTCCCTCTCTCTCTGCCCCTCCCCCGCTGGCACTCCCCTAAAAATAAATATTTTAAAACTCAATAAAAAAACAGTGGAAAAAATACTAACAGAAATAAACATACAGTGGAATACTATATATTGAGTTAAAATGAATGAAATCTACTTGTATCACACATTAGATACACCCCAAAATGATGTAAAGTAAAAGCAAGTTGTAAAAGTGATGTCAGGTACAGAATGATACCATTTATGTAAGCTTAAAAACACAAAAACAAATGGTTTATAGAAACATCTGTATACAGCAAAAGTATAAAAACATGCGTGAGACAGAGGGAAGCCGGGGATGGGTGGGTGGGTGAAACAGGGGATGGGGATTAACAGCACACTCATCATGATGAGCACTGAGTCAGGTACAGAAGTGCTGAGTCACTACACTGTACACCTGAAACCAATATAACATTGCATGTTAACTACACTGGAATTAAAATTTAAAAATTAATGAGAAAGAAAAGTAGCTACTGAAACTTGGGTTCTTTCCCCCAAAAACAAAAAAACATGCGTGAGAATAATACATGCCAACAAGTGGGTAGTGGCTACCTTGAGAACAAGGGAGGGAGGGAGGGAGGGCAAGAGGGAGGAAAAGGGAAGAAAGGATGGGGCTTTGAAACATTTACTCCCTCTATGACAAAATAAGGTGCGGATGAAGCAGACCTGGCAAGCTGTTGAAGAACTTAAATCAGGATGATGAGTACTGAGTCACCATCATATTTTACCTTTTCAGTATCCTTCAAATGCTGTATTTCAGAAAGAAGTTTAAAATCAAAACTTTTAAAATGTCAGTAATTCAATAATTAACTCCATGCTACACAGTAAAATTAAATGCTACCAACCCTTAGCTATCCCATGATTGACTCGATCTCTCTGACCTCTGAAAACCAGAAGAGAATTACCACCACTGAAATTGGATCAGGAACTAAAATGTAAAAATAAAATAAAACAAAAGAATACTCTTTAACAACTGCAATTCCAACAACACACTCTAAGGAAATAATTAAGCAAGTAAAACAAAGATATTCATTGCTGTGTTGCTAATATCAAACACTGAAACCAACCTAGATGCCCATCAATCAGGAATTAAATGATGGTAGTTACATACAATGGAATACCATCAGGTCACAGGAAATATAGTTTACGTTTATATTTAACATGGGAAAACTTCCATAGTGGTTAAATAATTTTAAAAAGAAAGAAAGAAAGAAACATACTCCATATCCCTAACCTTCCTCCTTCACCCTGGTTAACTCCTTAAGGCTAAGTCTATACAAATATAGGCAAAGAACCATACAGATATGTTGATATATCTCCCTAAGAACAGCAAATAGATGTTTAAATCTAAATATTAAAAAAAAAAATTCAAAAACAAGGCAGCATATGTAGTATGACCTCTTTTAGGAAGAAAAAAAT